CGAATTTCTTGGCATCAGCTTTTTGAAAGGTTTCAATTTTTATTCCATCAATTCCCAAAGTCTTGTTTTTTTTGTCAGTGCTTTCAGTGCACCTTGGACTTCTTCCTTCAGTACTACTGACTGGCTCTTGATCATATACTCCCTCTTGAAATGGTTGAACATCGACCATTTCTTTGTGGTACAATGACTCTGAATTCTTTCCATTTTCTTTTGGTGCTTTTTGCATCATTCTATATTTTGCTCATTTGTTGTTGTTAGGTACCATCGAGTCGGTACCAACCCATAGCGACCTTTATGCACAGCAGAATGAAACATAGTATCCTTCAATATTTCAAGTCGTGGCTTGAATTTTTTCTTCAGTTCCCCCAGCTTGAGAAATGCTGAGAATGTTCCACCCTTTTGGTTTTGTAACTCCGGTTCTTTGTACATTTCATTATAATACTTGACTTTCACTTCTCAAGCTGACCTTTGAAATGTTCTGTTTAGTTCTTTTACTTCCTCTTTTCTTCCATTTACTTTAAATCTCTATTCGTAGAGCAAGTTTCTGAGTGTCTCCTGACATCCGTTTTGGTCTTTTCCTTCTTTCGTATCTTCTTAATGACCTTTTGTTTTCTTCCTGTATGATATTCTTGATGCCATCTCAAAACTCTTCTGGTCTTCATCATTAGTGCCTAATGTACCAAATCGGTTCTTGAGATGATTTCTAAATTCAGGTGTGTTATTTTCAAGATCAAATTTTGGCTCTCTTGGACTTGTTTTAATTTTCTTCAGCTTCAGCCTTAACTTGCATGTGAGTAATTGAGGTCTGGTCCAAAGTGTGCTCCTGGCCTGTTTTGTCTGATGATATGGAGCTTTCCCACCATTTCTTCCCACAGACAAAGTCAATTTAATTTCTGTGTATTCCATCTGGTGAGGCCCATGTGTATAGTTGTCTTTTATGTTATTTTAAAAAGGCATTTACAATCAGCAAGTTATTGACCTTACAAAATTATATCATGTGATCGACAGCAGTGTTTCTATCACCAAGACCATACTTTGCAACTACTGATCCTTCCTTTTTGCTCTCAGCATCTGCATGCTAATCAATACACCTTGATTGCCTGTTTGATCAATTGCACACTGAAGAGGCTGGCAGAATTCTTCAATTGCTTCATCACTGGCTTTAATGCTTGGCGCGTGAATATGAGTAATAGTGGTATGAACTGGTCTTCCAAGTAGGCTATGGCTATTATCCTGTCACAACGCTATACTTCAAGAAAGATCTCAAAATGTCCTTTTTGATGATGAATGCAACTCCATTCCTCTTCAATCTGTCATTCCTGGCTTAGTAAACCACATTACTGTCAGATTCAAAATGACCAATACCAGTCTATTTCAGCTCACTAATACCTAGGATAATGATGATTATGAGTTCCATTTTATTTCTGAGAACTTGCAATTACCTTAGATTCATAATTCTTAAGTTCTATGTTCTAATTACGAATGGATGTTTGCAGCTGTTTCTCCTTGTTTGGAGTTGTGCCCATCAGCTCTACTTCCTTCGCATCATCACAGTAAACTCCTACTTTTTTGGAGGCAGCTCTTCCCCGGTTGTAGCTAGAGTGCTTTCCAAACTAGGGACTCAACTTCTGGCACTATATCTGACAATATTATGGTGTTCTTCATCATACTTCAATACCAAATTCTGGTAGTGTTCCACTGCTATTCCTAAAGTTTTCAGTTGCTACACATTCAGAAGTAGTCTGACTTTCCTCCTCCTTCCTAGCATACCTTAGTCTGGAAGCTCACATTAAACCTGTCCACACGGGCATACCCTTCTGGTATTTAAAATAATGGTGGCATCATTTCCAGCATCATAGCCACACACATGCATGACAGTATGACAAAGTGACAGACTAAGTTTTTCAAAAACAGGTAACAGGGTCAAAAGACAAATACATCTACAACTTTGGTGGTGATGGTTGTTAAGAGCTGTCAACTTGGTTCCCGACTCATAGAGACCTTATATAGGGTTTCCAAGAAGCAACTGGTGGGTTTGAACCACCAACATTCCAGTGCTTACCATACAGCACCACACCAGGACTCTGTACAATTGTGGTAGATATTGACAAATATCAAGCCACAGGGTCACACAAATGTGCTTGCTCAACAGCAATGCATAGATATGTCTGGATCTTTACAGACTTGCCTACATAGTGTACTGTCAAACTAGTGCATTTTCTTAAATGTTTTCTCAAGCTCTGCGATATATTTCTCTTGTTCTTTTTATATGTATAAAGATCATTATTATTTATCTGTGTATGAGAACATTTTGGTTATGTATTTTGCAGAAATTATGCTTTGGAGGAATCGTACTCTAAATATCTGAAATAGTGATATATATTTCGAGGACATTCAGTGCCCCATCCATATATAAAATAAACATTGCAAAGTTCATTCCAACAGCTTTTTGAACTTCCAGTCACAACCATCATCTTCTCCAGGGTTGGAACTTCCATACACTTTGTAGAGTAATGGACACCCTAAATTGCTAGTCTAGACACAGTCACCCTAAATTAATTACATGATTTTCATCCTCAGCTTTCTCTCATCAGTATTTTCTGAAAAACGTAGCTCAACAAGAAGTTCATCTACAGCGTCAAGATTTTATTGCCTTTACCAATGTTAAGATTTCTTGCTCTGAAACCACAGCTTCTTTCAATGTTGTTTCACTGCTGATTCCATACTGCTGAGACATAGATAAGGTGGTATAGCAGTTCTGACCTGAGTGGGCTGGCGCCAGTCTCACTTGTAAATAAAGATGGCTTCATATTAACAGCATAGTGGTTTATGAAATGGGCTGCACACCTCCAGCTCAGCAGTTCAAACTGACCAACTGCTCCGAGGCAGAAAGATGAGGCTTTCTGCTCCCCTAAGATTTACAGCCTCAGAAACCCTAGAGTAGTAGTTACTAATTGGGCAGCAGTTTGAAACTACCAGCTGTTTTGCGGGAGAAAGATGGGGCTTTCTGCTCCCACAAAGATTTACAGCCTCGGAAACCCAGTACAGGGTTGTTATGAGTCAGAACTGACTCCACAGCACACAATCACCACCACCGAGATTTAAAAGCCTCAGAAGCCCTCTACCCTATATGGTCACTAGGAGTTGGACTCGACTCCACAGCACACGTCTACTACCACCACCACAATAAAATCCGGGCCAATGAGATGGAAGCATCAATCTGCTGAAGAGTTGCAGGGAAGCTTTAGTGTGGACAAATGTACTTCACATCTCTTTCTGCTTTCAATGGACATATGGTCTCTGAAGCTGTTAAGAGACACCTTGCAACCATAAAATAAAGGCCAAGTTGGTTCATGGAAAAATGCAATGAAAAGATAACGGAATTTTCCACGAACTTTTTGAAGCCCTTATGAGTAAACATTCTTTTTCATACATTCCGTGACAGTGTTCCACCAAGCCAAAGCCATTGCCGCCAAGTAGATTCCCATAGTGCCAGCCTAAGACCGAGTAGAACTGCTCCCCCGCCAGGGTTTCCTGGGCGGTAGATCTTCACAGAGCAGACTGCCACCATCTTTCCTATGGCGTGGCTGAGAGGTTCAAATCACCAGTCTTTGTGTTAGCAGCAGAGCGCTTAGTCACAATTCTGACAATGTTACTCCTTATAATCGAGCACCAACCACCTATTTGAAACTTCTTGGTGAGAAAAAATGACTGTTCAGGGTACTATGATATTAGTATTATACCTGCATTGTCTAAAGGCAGAGAGAGTGTTGTTGTTAGGTGCTGTGGAGTCAGTTCCGACTCACAGCAATCCTGTAAAGGGTTTCCAAGGCTGTCATCTTTATGGGAGCAAAAAGCTGCATCTTTCTCCAGCAAAGCTTGTGGTTAGTTATCCCATGCTTATCCTACAGCATAACCAGTGCTCCTTAAAGACAACTAGTCATACGTCCTAAAGCAGTGTTTTAAGAAAGAACAGGTGGTGCAATAAATGGTTAAACAGCTGCCAACTCAAGGTTGGCGGTTTGAACGCCTAAGTCACATGACAGGAGAAAGCTGTGGCCGTCTGCTCCACGGACTGAAAGCCCTGGAAACCTAATGGGACAGGTCTACTCTGTCCTATGTGGTCACTATTAGTTGGAATGTACTCAACAGTACTTAACAACAGTGTTCTAATAAGCATTTCACAAGTGCTAATACATTAGAATCATTACCTAACGAAATTTAAGATACCATTTAACAGTCTTATCAAACTATTATAAATTGTGTCCTCTATGCTAGTCTTGTTGTTGTTGTTATGTGCCATCGAGTCGGTTCCGACCCATAGCGACCCTGTATAGGGTTTCCGAGGGTGTAAATCTTTACGGGAGTAGAAAGCCTCATCTTTCTCCCGCGGAGCAGCTGGTAGTTTCAAACCGCTGACCTTAAGGTTCGCAGCCCGATTCGTAACCAAGGAGCTCTGGTAGCGTAGTGGTTACGACTCGGGCTGTGATCCTTAAGGTCAGCGGTTCGAAACTACCAGTTGCTCCGCGGGAGAAAGATGAGGCTTTCTACTCCCGTAAAGATTTACACCCTCGGAAACCCTGTACAGGGTGGCTATGAGTCGGTTCCGACTCCACGGCACATAACAACAACAACAACATGCTAGTCTAGTCTAGTAATGTTTCTTTGGTTCAAACATTGCTCAGCCCTCATAAGCTTTTAAAAGGAAGTCACCAAATTATGAGAAAGAGAAACATTAACTCATCTCTCTACTATTTTATTTGTCTTGTAAAGGAGGTTAGGGTGAACGATGAAATAAGGAAGAAGCATGTAAGAAAAGTGTGGCTAAAATCATAGTGCACAAGTTATCTATAGTAGACAGTAGAAAAATAGAAGAAATGAACTGTCTTAATAATCATAAACACAAATTAACATTTTCTTTTAGAATCATAATTGAAGAGCTAACGTCTGAAATACTGACACTGTCAGAGTAAGTATGTAAGAAAGGAATTCAGACAAACCTTTTGATTTTCCTGTATTTCCTTTCTCATTTGTTGATTTACAGCAACTCTGGTCAGTGATCTGAGAAAACAAATACTGATGTTATCCGTTCTTCTTCAGGAGGTTCCAACTAATCTACAAGTCAATGTAAAGTCATTCTCTGAGTAAGGAACGGAAAATTCTCTTTCTCAGTACCTCACCACTCAAAGACGGCTGTTTCCATATAGCCAAATTTTACAAGAGCCACCATGGCTTCCACTGGCAAGGGTATTGATTCAGGCAGAATGAAAACTGTCCAAAGCACGCATGAACTAACTGCATACATTAAGTGTCTCCAGAGCCTGTTTACCATGATACTTATTTTTCATAAAAATATTTGACTGGAAATGGATGTTACCTTGTTTTAGACCTAAATAAAAATGACATGAAATTACCAAAGTCATCATATGCATCACTGAAAATATTTACATACAAATATTTTCAGAATACTTGTACATAAAGAGTTTTGGCTAAACTGGGATCTTTTATAAGTATGTTGCTGTTGCTGTGAACTGCCGTTGAGTCAGTTCTGACCCATAGTGACCCTGTATAGGGTTTCCAAGGAGCAACTGATGAGCTTGAACCACCAACCTTGCAGTTCAATGGCTATGCAGTCTGGTGCATTAATGTTTTCCACAAAACTTGCAATACTTTTATTATTAAAAATTAAGTAGTACAAATTGTTCATTCATTTCGCAAAAGTTTCACTGCAACAAGTATTTAATGATTGTCTACCAAATGGCTTTAGAAATACGTGCAGAAAGTTTGTGAAAAGATATTATCATGTTTTAATTCCATTTTCCCTCAAAGTTTTTGGAGTCCCCTTGAAAACTTTAGCCAACAAGCTATGTAAGCACATTTTGCACATTTCTCTTAGTGACCAATCGTTTAGCACCAGAACAACTCCACAGCTATACTGATTTCATCTCAACACAATCAACCAATTGTTTCATTAAAACTAGTTATTTTACGTTATTTACATTTTACCTAATTTGAAAAGTAACTGTTAATTAGTAGCAGGGTGGCTAATATACACATGCTTTAGTGTATAAACACTGACTGCTCAAATTTGTCACTGCTGAAACAAAAACTGACTGAAATAGTTCAATAGTCATTCTTCATCTGTAACAAAGTGACAAAACCCTTTACTTTCAAGGTACCATTTTATGCTCTAATAAACCAGTATACATTAATGAAGAACACTGGCTTTATAAAAACTGTATGCCTACTCCACACTTGTCGACCATCTCACTATCTGACATTTCATATTTAAAGCCAACAGTAAAAAGTCTACTTGCCTATGAGTTCACACATTAAGGATGCCTACTGGCAGCAATAAACACTCAGGTCTCTGAATAGCAGGGCCGGTGGGCACCTATGAAGGAAGCTCAGGAAGCTCCTATTACATCATACTTCCCTCCCTGTGAGGGGAGATGGGGGTGCAGAATCCCTGAGCCACTAGGAAGAGCACAGCGGGAGCTGGAGTGAGGCTGGCCAGGACACAACTCTAGCTGCTGGGTCCCGGGTGCTCATAGAACCATGAAATCAGAGTAGCGGCAACTGGTGTCATAAAGGTGGACCACCCTCAGGGCTGGGGAAGAAGTGGAAGCCTTAGGTCTGTTCCCAGCTTCCAGTCCCAAGAGGTGACATACACAGGCCAGGCTGTGGTCAGAAGGAGTCCTGAGATGGGGCACTTGGATGCTGTGGATCCATAAGACCCCATGTCAGTTGACCAGTACATATGCAACCTCTCATGCTTCCTTAATACACCTTCCTGAGTGGGCATAAGTGAAGGCAGGGCAGGCAATCTGGGTGGAGGTGGGACCAGCGGATGAGTGACCAGCAGCAGTTTAAGGTCAAGGGCAAAGACCCTGCCTGGCCATCGTGGCCTCTGAAGAAGCTCTGAATTGTCACTTCACTTCTCATGGGACCATGGGAGAGCAAGAGCTAAAGGATGTTTAGGGCTGGCAGGGGAGGCCCAGTGACACCTCATGACACCTGGGTCCCTATGCACAAGGATGTTGAGCTCCTTGTCCCCAACAAAGCCACCAATAGCATCCTGGGGTCACTAAGGGGATGAACCAAGGCCTCTTTCATGAAAACACAGCGACGGCAGGAGAGAGAGGGCAGCAACTGAAATACCCTGGATATCGGAGAATAGGCAGCCCCTCTGCAGGTGCTGGTGGGGGCCATGCTCTCCTGAGGCAATGTGAGCACGAGGGAGGCAGCGGTGGCAGGTGGCCCGTGCACAATACATATGCGGGATGAGGTGATGGGGTCATCCTCTATGTTCACATAATGCTAATTTCTGCATAATGACCTTGTCTGTGGAACTGAACCATGTCAACAAGGGAGGAACAGGTGTTAGATGAAATCAGTTTATCTCATAATATTTATTTCATGGGGAAAAGTTCTGGCCACAGTCAAGCAAATGAATTTTAACGTACCTTGCTCTTAAGGGGTAGTTCTGTGAAATGTCTTTCATTAACTTTAAGGCATCATAAGCTGGAGCGGACACTATTTGAGAAGCTGCTTGAAAACTAAGATCTGAAAGAAAAAAAATATCATTAAGAAACCTACAACAATATTATACTGTTATAGACCTTTCTACACAATTTAAATAATTTACTTGATTTTCCTTCCCATATATAAGGGGGCTTCAAAATGTCCATGGAAAACGGCCATTATCTTTTCATTTCATTTTCCATGAATTTTTCAAAGCTCCTTCATATTTGTGTTTAAACTTATTAACATTCTTTTTATTTAGCATTTCCTAAAAGTTGTAAATGAAAAGTTAATTATCCTGTTCACTTAGATACGTTCTACACTTTTATGAGAGTAATTATTATTTAATACCTATTACTGGTTTTCTAGAAGTTACAGTACAACTTCAAAAAACACAAAAAGAAATGCTGAGTGTAGGACCTTAGGTGGAATCCTGAGCCCCAACTAGACTCTTCTGAGGTGGGACTTTGCTACTTAAAAGGATAAGGAGAACAGTCTGGAATAGCTAGAGGAACAGAAGATACTTCTTGAAAGAAACACTAGCAGGAAAAATCCAAATTAAAAATGGCAATCTGATTGGCTACTACAAGAACAACAAAGTTGTTCACCAGGGAGCCATCAAGGCAAGCAATCAAGTCCCTTCAGGACAAACCCCTCTCCAAGACTGAAACTCAAAGGGAACACACGAGCAGGCATGTAGGCTTACTGACGACCACATTGGTCTACTGGTGTGTGGAGGAGGGGGAAAGGCCGCAATGAAGAAATGGGCAGATTTCGACCACATTCCATTGACTCCCATTGACCTGGAGATGAGAGAGAGAAGAGGAAGGGCTGGTTGGTCCAAAGTGTGGTGAGACCTGGGGACACCTGAGCCAATGCACAATGACATAGCCACAGAGGATTAGAGCTGAGAGTGAAGCATACAGCTGATATGAAGCGAGGGGAGATGCACAAGAACACCCAAAGTTTCAGATAGTACCCATCAGACCTAGCTTCGAAGGCTTGATGATCAGAACTCGACTAGAGGAAGATAAAAAAAAAAAATTATAAAGGAAACAAGTGTAAATTGCTATAATTTGATGAACTTGACCTATACTTATGGATGTAGTATTTCAAAATACCAACTGAGAGGGAAGGAATCTTCACATTCAAGATCAATCCTATCCCCTCTGTATACAGGGTAGATAGGGATGGGCAACTTAGACACTGGCTACCTAAAGTGGGAAGGGGTATAAAGGCATGACGTGACTGGCTTACAAGTTTTCAAGAGGGAGTTTAGTTTCAGAGTATGTGGAGGAAGGTAGAATCTCCACTGAATAGTTTTCATCTTGTCTAGATGGCTCTGGTAAAGAAGATGGACGTAAGATTCTTACGATTCAATAGTAAGTGTTATCAGGACTAACTGTGACTGTCACAAGTGTAAAGGTAGAAGTTTTGTAACAAAAAGAGGGGAATAGTTAATCTTACAGTCCAGGAAGAGAGGACCCTAGGACCATCAAGGGAGAAGAGCACAAGCGGAATGTGGAACCCTATCCAGAGAAGCAGCGACACCAGAGATGGAGACAGAGATGGGAACATGGGGAAACAGAGCAGCTGAGGACTCTAGATTCATGGGAAGCGAAAAGCTATGTGCTGGTGACCAGGTGCTGGTGGCCAGGAGGCAGACCTGCAGAATGTACCCTTTGGTGGTTTAAATGATTATATATTCCTGAGTGTTTCTATGTACATCACCCCCCACCACCACCACCACCAAAAAAAAAAAAGACAGAGGGAAGAGAAGCTGTTGAATGATGATGTACGAAGGAGACTGTAATCACTGCAATGAAATGACGAGTGTAAAACCAATGTTCTCTGATGTAAACTATCACTCAATTCATAATAAAAACCTAAAAAAAAAAAGAAATACTGACACAAAGCTTTCTTCTTGAACTGAAAAAAACAAAAACATGTGACAAAAAGCACTGACTGGCAGAATAACAAAGGAGGACGAAAGAAAAAAGCTTTACCCTTCTCCTGACCTGTGGGACATACAGTGCCCACTTATATTTTCTGCCTCTAGAGTTCAGGGCAAGCTGCTATTCCCCTTCCAATGCATGCTTTCCTTTGGTGGGGGCCTCTAGAACTGAGTGAGTAAAGAAATGGGCCTCATCTGACCAACCCCAGCACCAGAAATCCCTCAGTATATATAACTGTTGTTGTTGTTAAGTGCCATCGAGTCGGTTCCGACCCATAGCAACCCTGAACAGGGTTTCCGAGGCTATAAATCTTTACAGGAGCAGAAAGCCTCATCTTTCTCTCGCGGAGCAGCTGGTAGTTTCGAATTGCTGACCTTGCGGTTCGCAGCCCGATTCATAACCACTACGCTACCAGAGCATATATAATAGGGTCCACTAATTGTATCCAAGTTCATATTGCCGCAAAAAAAATGTTTTTAGTTTCATTCAAAACTGCTTCCATTTTAGTTTCAACAAAAAGTTCAAAGCAGAAAATAATTCAGTGTTGAAATGGTTAAAGAGTTAATTCTCAAAACGAACTTAAAGACTAGAAGTATTTAACTCAGTAAATAAGTATTCACTTTCTTCTAACACTGTCTTATCATTATACTAAAAATACAATTCCAAACTTAGAAAGCACTATTTGATCTGAAATCACAGATCAACAGAAGGAGAAATATGTGGGGTTAACTGCAGTCAGTCTGAAATGTGTCAAAACCAATAATCCTCTTAGTCCTATGAACCTGTCAAACATCTGAAGAGATTTAAAAACTTAATTATTCCAGGATAATAGCAGCGCAAACTATTTCTCTTTCATGTTTCACAAGCAGCACAACCCTAATTTATCAAATATGAATAAAATACCCAGTTGTTCTCATGTGCACAGTGTGAAGTAAAAGTCCAGAAAAAGAGGCTCTTAGTGTGCTTCTCATGAGACAGGAGAGTCTAACAGACCTGGGTTCAAATTCCAATTCTATCGCTTATTAGCTGAATCATTACAATCAGTTTCTTCAACCTGGTACTCCAGCTTGTTTACAGCACCCCAAACTGCAGTGAAACTATCAGTAGTCAGTAATAGCTCCTAATTGCCAAACAAAATGGACATCTACCCATCCTTACCTTACCAGGATCCTCCTGCAACAAGATCATTTTCTACAAACAAAGTACTAATTACTTTCTCCTTCTTAAAAGTCAACCTTCGAGCTTCTATGTGTAGTAGTCACTCTTCCATCTCTGACCAGGTTGTCTTGACCAGGGTTCTACATCCTACATGTGGATGAGCTCCAGGGCACCCTCCCTGGTGAAGGAATTTTGTCAGTTTATACACATCTCAATCAGCAACCCACCATCCTTTTTGAAATCCTGATGCTAAGACTTCTCCATTTTTATAATCTTCTCCTTTTAGCTTCAGGACAGTATATTCAACTTTATCACCTGGATACCTCACAACCACTTTAAATCAACCCTTCTATCACTGTTCTCACTATTTCTAGGCCCCATATTCAACCCAAAACCTACTTAAATGCTCTGTATTTCAGTCTCAAAGATGACCTCTTGGGAGTTATTTTTGACTTCTCTTAGCTACTAAAATATTTTCCAGATTCCAATCTTCCTTTCTATGCTCTCTAGCACAATCAGCGTTTCATCTCTCCTTTTACATGATCTCATTGGTCTCCTAACTAGATTTCCTGTTTCCACCTCATTCAAATACATCTTCAACAGACACTAGGGTGGCCAATGAGACTAAGCTGAGTGTGCATGTTCTCTGCTGAAAAGCTGGAAAGGGCCCCATCACTTACCATTTTCTAAACTACGCAAAAGACCCTTGGAGAGCATTGAAGGACATTTACACACAAGAAAATTGTAATACAATAGAAAAATATGTGCTAAGAAAAAGACGTAAATAAGGAATCAAAAGAGAGGTTTATGTACACCGACAAGAAACCACCTAGCCACTGCTTTCCAATCCCTTCTGACTCTGACCAACATGACAGAGCTGAACAGCAACTTGGGGTTTTTGAGGTTGAAAAGCTTTACAGAAGCAGACAGCCTCTTCTTCCTTCTATAGAAAGACTAGTAGGTTTAAACCGCTGACCTTGCGGGTAGCACCTGAATGCTTAAAACCCACTGCACCATACTGGCAAGGAAGTGTCTAAATTGAGGGATTTGGGGGAATAAGCCGTCATTTTGAAAAGTTTCAATGGAGGTCAAGCCAGTGGGTGTTCGATTGACTGAAACAAAACCCACAGTGTACAGAACTCAGTTGTCTTCATGAAGCTGAAGGTCAAGATTCATGGGCTTGAGGAAGTGAGAATGCTTAAGTGTAGAAGTCACTATCAAGCTGAAGTGCTGGAGTTTTAGAATTGGACAAGTTCTGGTTAATTACAAAGCCAAAGTACTCTCATGTAAAGAGGAAATTACAGTGGAATTGGGAGTAAGGTTCCATTGAGAGGTGATAAGGACAATGACTTTGAAGTCTAGAGTCAACTTGGACTCTGATGTACCATACATAGGATTTCACACATGATGAACAGGAGTTTCAGACTCCTTGAAGACAGAGTGAGAAAAAACCTGTCAGCTTTAAAGTGATGTGATAAGGAATAATAAGGAATGGTGTAGTTAGATGCCACAGAAATCATAGAAGCAACAGAATGAAGAGGCAACATAAAGAGGAAGCGACCGATGACAAGTTTCACTCAAAAACTGATCCCACACAGATTTCAGGTTTGTGGGAAACACACGAGTAACTCACAAATCCTCCAAAGGAAAGGGTTTCAGAGAAAATATGAATGAACATTTTCATAACTGGTGGTTCCTGTGAGTACCACTTACATTTCCCGCCTCTGGGGTTTCTTGGGCAGTTTGTTCCCTACATACAGCAGGTGCCTGTGTCAGGCTAGGGCCTTGGCTAACTGTCAATCAGAAGGAAGGGCCTCAGTAACCTAATGCTGTGCTGTGATGTGGTGCTTAAAAAAAGGCCTGGCTGTAATACGTTCCTCTCTTTAGATTTCTGTTTGTCTGGGTATTTGCTACTTCCGATGTATTGTT